CTCAGAGCTGTTGATGTTGCTATGTAATACATCTTCAAACCTGGGCAAGTCCCAGAAGACTAGAAAAATGCCAATATGTACCAGTATTCAAATGGGAAAGTGGGATGACCTGGGTAGCTATAGGCCAGGTAGCCTGACAGCAATCCTGGGCAAGGTCATGGAAAGGCTGATACGAAATGCAGTTAGGAAAGTATTAAGGATGGCACCATGACATTTAGCATGGTCTTAGCATGTGAGGAGAATACAGTTGGGGAGACAAAGGCAACTATGTGGCCATTACAAAGGGAGGACTGGAGCCTTCATGGGTCCCGGTCAGAGCGCAGACGAAGCAGGAGGCCAACGGGGGCTAGTCGTGACTCCCAGATCCTCAGCACTCAGCTCCAGACTAAGATAAGGTGCAGGGGGGAACGTTAATTTACATTGCTGGCGATAGGTCCCTCTGGGACCAGGTTGTGACAAAGTGGGACTGTTCTTAATGTTTCCTCTAAATACCGTGTGAGTGCCTCAGTTTCCCCTATGCATTTCTTAAGTCTCCAGTGTGCATAAATGGCTGACAATTTGTCTCCTAGCAACAAATGGCCAGGGCCCTTCCCCCCTTGCAAGGGGATAGCTAACTGTGAACAAAGAGATCAGGTGACCTCCTGGCCCGGGAAAGAGACAAAGGCCAGAGAGGAGGGGCTGGAGGGGGTTTCAGTTTGGAGCTGGCTGGGGATGGGAAGGGAGTGCAGACGTGGGTGTCTGCCTCGCTGGGCCCCAGAATGGACCCGGCCGAGGGGTCCCGTTTGCCGCTGTACTTTCAAGCTCTGTTTTAGACCATGTTCCTGTCATCTAATAAACCTCTGTTTTACTGGCTGCTAAGAGTCATGTCTGACTGCGAAGTGGGGGTGTATGCAGGACCCTCTGGCTTCCCCAGGATCCCGCCTGGGTGGACTCGCTGTGGGAAGCGCACAGAGGGTTATGCTGAATGCTCCAAGGAGAGACCCAGGAAGTTGAAGCCGTGTGAGTGTCTTGCCCTGAAGACAGTCTGCTCCAAGGGAGAGGAGGCTCCCCAGAGTCCTGACTGGCTTTGTGGGGAGCAGTTCCAGAGCATCGCCCGGGGACTCCGTAACACAGGTGCCAGTGGGAAATTATCTGTAGCAGAACCTAGCTCTGGGAGATGCCCTCCTTTCCCTCACTTTGACCCCCTCTCTCCTTCCCCATCTGACACCCCCTCCTCCAGCCCAACATGCCCTTCCCGTCCCACAGCTGCCTTTCCCCTCCCTTGCTGACACCCCCTCCTCCACTCCAACACACCCCTCTCTCTGACAACCCTTCCCCTCCTTCACCTGACACTCCCAATACGGCCTGACACACCTCTCCTCTCCCTCAGCCGAAGTGCCCTTCCTCTCCTTCACCTGACACCACCTTTCTTCTTCCCCAATACGCCCCCTGCCTCGCCCAGCACTAGATGGCAGAGCCAGCTGGGGGCAGCAGAGTCAACTCAGCCAGCCTTGCACCGCACAGATTCCCTCTATACCAGGAATTCCCCATGGCCCTTCTCTCCCTGCTTTCATGGTGCAGAGTGCTTTTGATGGGCTGGGAACTAAGGCCCTTATGTATGAACTCAGGCAGCTGGAGGCTGACAAAGAAAAGGCCATCCACCAGCAAACCCTGGACTTAAAAGACAAAGAAATTGAGCCCCAGAGACGAACAGGGATTTTACATGTACTGCCTCCGCCATGGACAGTGTTCAAGACTATGGCAGTAGGTTCAAGAGGAGGGTGTGATGTTGCACTCCATATGCTTTATGGAGATATGCTTATGAATATGACATAACTGGAATATGCTTTACGCTAAATACCCCATCTATGGTGTCATTAGAAAGCTTTCAGAGTAGCAGCCGTGTTA